CCCCTCACCCACTGCGTTTCTCCCCCCTCGCAGTCAGCGTTACCGTCGGGGGCAAGCAGTACCTGCTGGGGCTGTACGACACCGCCGGCCAGGTGAGTGCCGAGCACTGCCCGCGGCCCCGCGGCCCCGTCCCCCCGCCCGGCGGCGATCCCGGCGCTGAAGTTATTCGCTGTGGTCCGGGCTGGGCGGTTGAGAGGCGGGTTGGCGGGGGTAGGGGGTGACTGATAAAATCCGGCTTTAGAAGAAAACCATAGATCCAACCTCGATTCCCGAGGACGGGCAGGCGGAGACAGGCTTTATTTTTAGCGGTGCTGGGGCCGAGGAGCCACGGCATTGCCCGACCGACGTTTGGGTGGGGGGATGCTCGGCGGCTGCGGGTCAGTGCTCTGGGCCGGGCATCGCCACTGGCCAGACCCCCTTCCCCGGGGTGCCGGCCCTCCCTCCGGCCTTCAGGTAGGGAAATGTCCCCCTTTCAGCACAGAGGGCACACGCTGCCTCAGCCGCCTCGGGTCGGATGGAGAGCCAGACTGCCGCAGCTTGCCTTGGTTGTGGTTTACAGTACTCAAATAGCTACAAAGAGTTGTTCAAACTAAAGGTGGAAAATAATAGCATGTAATTTTCAGCCACAGTCTTTGTGATAACCTGGGTTTCTTTTGCTGTCCCAAACAACTCAAGTTGTCATTTGGTTAAGATTAGTACAGCCAATTGTGAAAGATGCTGTGATGTAAGCATGGCTCTTAAGTAACTTCAGTGATGGATAAAATACTGGATGTTTGGAGGGGTCACTGGTCTAGTGGTTTAAAGAGTTCCATGATTCAAGTCATCTCTTCCTTAGCTTAACTTGCACTGCACCAGCCACCGGTCAAGCACAGTCTCTGGAGTTAGAGTACTTTCTGGGGATCCCTTATTTGAAAGAGTTTGTGAAGGGCCTGACCCCAGGAGGTGCAGGCATCTCCCAAGGAGGTGTCGAGCATATACAGAAATGCAAATGAGTTTCTGTAAAGTTGTATATTCCCCATATTAAAACTTCTTCTTGCAGCACGAGCATGTGCTTTGGTCTCACATGACCTCAGACATGCTTCCTTGTTGTAAAGAGCAACCAGTAAGACAATCTCACTGAACTTGCCTATGCAAGTAACCGAAGCTGTAATTTTTAACCATTTTGTTCCTATACTTAATTGAACAACTGCTGCCTGAATTAGTTTACCTTTTTAGATTTGCATATAGCCTTGAGTTAGGGGATCAGCATTTAACCAGTCTTATATCTTTGTTAGGCCTGAAATCAGTTAAAAAATTAATTCAATGAGAACTGTAGGAAACAGAGCCATTTCCAGAAAGCTGATACCCTGAAGGGTGAGACTCTTCTCACAAAGACTGACTTCATGCTTGTCATCTCACTGACGTAAATACAAACTAGTCAAATTTATGCCAGCTAAGTGAATTTCTTATTATTATCATAATCCTGGTTTTGAAAAGTAATTGGTTCAGAACATGGGTTTAAGATGTTGCTTAGGTAGGTTGCAAAGTGCAGATCCAGTGCTCAGACAAAACATTTCGTTAGTGTGCAACTGATTTTTTTTTTTTTATAATGAGTATTGGAAAGTGTGAAAGCAAGCCTAGAACTTCTGTACATATACACAGTTTATTTGGGAATGCCTTCTCAAACTGCTTGTGCTGGGCTTGTTGCTATTAATGTGTATGTGTTGTTAGCTCTGTGTAACCTTAACTAGGGTGGCTTTGTGGTACCCCACTCTGCCTGAATATGCTGAGTGCAAACACAGGTGACCTTTGGTCTCCTCAAAAGTCATTAGGGTAAACCGGCCAGTTTACAACAAACAGCAAATGAAGGTGTTCCTGTTATACTAAGAAAAACTTTTCAGTGTGAGGCTGTATAGAGAAAGTTGAGCTGAGTTGTTTGTTTTTGTTTTTTGGTTTTGGTTTTTTTTTCAGTTTCTGAAAAGCTGAAATCCTAATTTTGAATTTCAGGGCAGTTTTTGAGGCTCCTAGAAATAGATCTTGCTGGCCTGATTCAGAGGACCCACAGTTCACATAGGGTGTTTTAATGAGGCTACCTTTACAGCTATATCTGGTCTTGTCAAAACTCCCCTATTAGTCTGACCTGTGGTACTAATAAAATCTTTAACTCTATCCCCATCCCACTTCAGCATGTTTGGGGAACTGGTGGACATCAGAGACTTCCCACAGGAGGCCCATCCCAATATCCAGTACAACTAAAAAGCAGAGTCTGTATCAAGATGCCAATCCAGCAACTTCATTCAGCTAAAAGCTGCTTTGTCAGAGCAGCTGACAAGCCTGTCTTCCCAAAGCTATGCAATAGAAAGCTTACATTAAAGCTTAAATATATATTGTAAAGAGCAGAAAAGACATGAGTTGATGATGTCTTCTCTTTGTTGAGGAACCAGCGTGCTGTACCTGGTCCATGCATGCTGCTTCTACAGACTTCCATATGGATTGGATACATTGTTGCCCAAAGTTGAGATTTCTATGCCAGCATACATCAGTGCTTTTGTCTCTGGCACCCCCAAATAATTTTACTATAAAATATTGGCCTGATAGTATAGTTTTATAAAACTTGGCTGTGTGTGATCACACATCTAAGCAGTTCACAGTCATCAGCATGTTTATACTTCCAGCTCTGGACAAATTAAATAGGTACAATCTACAGATCTCAATTCAGGAGAAAGAGGAGTGGAGGGGGTTAATGAAAATTCAGACAGTGACTTACTCCAAATCCATGCAAAAAGCCCATAGCAGAAGAAAGATTAAAGACAAGATTTTGATTCGTAGCTTGTGCACAGCAGGCTCGTCACCCTGAAATACTGGCTTATCAGTGTGTGGGTCTCTTTAACTTGTGTGGTTATGTATTTAGCAACTTGTGACAGATTTTGATTTGGCAGAGAAGCTGCAAGCTTTTGAGTTCATCCAGTGCTCATTTCTAGCTTGCTTCCTCACAACAACATGGGGTCAGATGTAGTAACTACAACGATGACATAAGGCCTCATATCTTCATGAGTTTAAAGTCGGTTGAAAATAAATCTATGAAAACCCCATTTTTTGCCTGGTAATATATATAGCGAGGAAAAATGCCACTAGTGGTTCACAAAGTTCAGTTTATACACAGGCCTTTGGTGTGCGTGAGTTCAAGAAGGCTTTTCTCTGGCTGAAAATACTGAGGCTCTGGTTCAGCAGAAAATAGCCAGTACAGCTGCTGGGCTGTGGAGGCTCTAAGAGCCCATTTGGGTTTGCAGCTGTGGAGACAGCCTCCCATGAGACAGGCGGGAATTTGGTGCCATTCCTCCAGCAATTCCTCCCAGAAGTGGAGCTAGCAGCTCCTTTTAGCCTTGCTGCATGCACTGGGTAGGTTTAGGGCAGGTCTTGGTTTCAACAAAAGATGAGAAGTGTAGAACCTGCGTTGAAGACGCATCAACACACCGAAGTTTAAACATGAGGTACTTGTGATTCTGATGCTTGGATGCCTCTGGCTTTGCAGCAGCCTCTTCTGTGAGACTCTGTGTCAATACTGCTCTTCACTGAACAGGGGTACATGGCAAAATCAGCTTGGGAGGAGAACCATGGCTTCATCAGGGGTCTGTTAAGATCACCATGTTGGAGTGATTTTTAACTGCTGGCAAGTGATTATCATATTGCTCTTCTATGATATCAGAAGAAATACTACCAGCTCTCAAGATGTTAACATTTTTGGAGGAATGTCTGCAATCACTAACAAAGAGGTGCCAGATGTTCCCTTGCCATGTCCAAGTGGTTGGAATAAGCACAGGGGTTACCTTTTGGGGATTTTTCTCTATATTGAAGGCTGTTGTTTAAAATGGTAGTTGGAGTCCATCCTTCTGCCAGTTCCTTTTGCTGCAGGATTTTAATTCATAGTGTCCCTTTCTTCCAGTGTGTGCTGACCACATACAGGGGGAAATCTTGCTCTGCTCCTCTGTCTTTGCTGTAAAGGATGGTTGGGACCCAGAGGAAGGATGGGGGAAGCTGCAGTAGCAGAGCCTGTACTGCTTGTGTTGCTCTGAGAAGAGAGATGCTGAGGTGAGGCATGGCATGTCTGTTCGGTGCAGATTTGACACCAAGCCAGCATCTGGGCAGTGCAGAGCGGGCTATGGTGAACCTTACTATGGTGCAGTGCCTCACAATAACATTTATATCTGTCAGCATCACTTACTGTTAATACTAGGGGGGTCTGGTCAGACAAAGCTGAGGTGAACCGTGTTCCTTGGCTTTCTGCTTTTATATCTTTGCCTTCTTAAACACCCTAACATGTGCTCTGATACAAAGAAGCTTTTGGTGCCTTCTCACCTGTCACCAGAACATACCACAAAACATGGTTAAAGCACAGAACAAGCCACTTCTTTGCACATCTCAGCTCAGATGGTCACACTGGTTGCAGCCACAGCCATTCAGATACACTGATTTTTTGGTTGTAACAGAAGCTCTGATGCTAAGGCAATTTTATGATAAAGTTGGTCAGGCTGCTGAAGTGTGCGTATAACACTAACTCAGTTATTAGTGAGATGAGTGTCTGCATTGAGAGGTGTAAAAACAAATGGTTATAAATGTGAAAGTGTCTGTGCATGAGGTGTGGTTATTAAAATGGATGGTCCCTGAACCTGCAATGGTTGCTATAAATGAATAGCAGTAATCTTTATACTCCTTGCTGGCTTTTTGTCTTGGCTTTGGTAGGTAGCTCTGGTCTAGCCCTAGGTACCACTCCAGTATCTTACTGAGAAGAGAGGCAGCTGCTGGTCTGTTGTGAGATAGAATTGTCCCTCCTCAGAGTACACTGCTCCTTCTGAGTTGCCCCTACCAGGCAGCCATAGCTCCAAATGTCAGCTGGAGTGAAGCAGTCTCACACAATGCAAAGCCTGCCACGCTTTACTGTAGAGGTGTAAACACTGAGACTTCCAACATGATTTTGGCAGAACTAAACATGAAATGTTAGGCACTAACATCCTGTCCCCTATCTGCCCCCCTGTGCCTCCCTCCTCCCACGTGCATTTTCCCTCGCTCCTTTTACATGTCCCAGCCGAGCTGGCAGCTGGCACTGGGAGGCTGT